GGGTTCCATGTCACCGTCGACTTGCAGGCACTGTAGACAAGCCCGGACAAACGTGTCAACATCTTGAGCCAGGGACTTCCACACGAACTTGTCGAACTCAGTCTGAGTTGTCGCGGCGATTCGACGATGGCCAGCAGGGCCTTGATAGGCAATGACGCACAACCCCTGTTGCAGGTCCACTGCACTGTCTGGGATCCAAATTCGACCCTTTTCGTCCATGTGAAATGATTCTTCTTCGTTCCACACAACGCCGGTCGGTGTACTCTCCCCCTCTTCAATGGCAGATGTCTGGGCAGCCAAAATCGAGGCTGCCGTAGGCCATTCGAAATCCGCTCGTTGCAACGGAGACACCACGTGCACGAGTTTACGGACATGCGACACCGGCGGAGCTGGTGGAGTAGAGCCCCATCGACTCAGTAAGTCTCCCCACACATTCACGTCGCCCGGGAGACACTCAATCGTGTACGGGAAAGTGGACATGATCAACGCCCAACGCTGAAGCTTGTCGGCTTGGTACTTGACGACCAAGCGTGTGTTCTGGATCAAGAAGGCAATACCGTTGTGGACATCATGGTCAAAGCAATCAAGCCGCTTGCGCTGCAGAAGTCAGTACAGCGCCAGCTAGCCCTGCAACGAAACAAGCCGCTCAAGACCAACGTCTACCGGTTTGTGGATTGGCTGCGTGTGCATACCGCCGGGTACCACATGTACGCTTCTGTGGAAGATGAGAATACTGCTCCCCCACCTTCGGCTGCGCCAGCAGCCAGGCTTTCCAAGCTGGCGAAATCGAGCGGTGACGGCGGTGGCAGTGTCTCTGCTCGACGTGCTCCACCAGCAACTGCAGCAACAGACCAAGACGGTTCGAAGCCTGAACGGAAGAAAGCAGCCTGTCTCAAGTGTTTCAGCGAGAGCCATAAGGTGTTGGAATGTCCCAAGTGTGCGCCTGGCGAAGCCGAGCGATTGCTCAAGGAGCAAAAGGACAAGTGGGAACAAGCCCGCCAGAAGCAAGTGACCAAGCTTCAAGGCAGCGCAGCGAAGCCTCTTGGACGCGAAGCGAAGATTGAAGGCATCGTTACCGTCACCATCCTCCTGGACACGGGCTCTGACGTCACGCTCGTGACAGCCGGTGTCATGAAGTCTTTGGAACAAGCTGGTGTGGAGATCAAGGTGATTTCGCCGGAGCCATCCGCGGTGCACCCCTATGGCGACAGCCCTGCACTCAAGGTCGACCGACAAGTGCAGTTCAAGCTTGTCACGCTGGACACTCCCTGTGGACCTTTGGCCTTGCGTGGACTCAATGCCTGGGTCGACTCCTCCACCAACGCAGCTGAGCTCTTGATCAGCCGGAGCGTGATGGAGCGACTTGGTTTCTCTGAAGACGACCTGCTCAGCAACGCCTTTGCGAAGCAAGAAGTTTGGGATGTCAGCGATGTGGACAAACCGTCGGGCATGGCCCGTGTCAACCGTCTGACCCAAGCGGCTGCCTCCAACGACGATTGTGGCGAGGACGGCATGCATTGCGCCACTCCCAACGTTCAAGCCCCTCTGTCGAAGACGCAGAAGACGAGCGCAATAGACGGTGTTGTGTTGTTGAGGCTGTACTTCAAGCCAAGGTTCAAGCTGCCGAGGACGAAGGCCTGACTCTCGCCTTCCTCGACAGACTGAAATCGACTTTGGCGAAGCACGTTGACGTTTTCCGTCTCGAGATCGGCCACGACGAACCGATCAAGGTGGCGCCACTACGCGTGCGACTCAAGCCGGGTGCAGTACCGGTCAAGTGCGGATTGCGGCGATACCCCCCAGCCCATGTAGAGTTCCTGAAGACACATGTGCGCGAGTTGGAAGCCGCTGGCCTCGTTTACCGCAACAACCGGGCAACATGGGCCTCGGCGCCGCGAATCGTACCGAAGAAGGAGCCTGGCGACTTGCGCATGACCATCGACAGCCGCCCCATCAACGCGTGTACGGAACCCATGCCCTGGCTCATGCCAAACCTCGACGCAGCCCTGACTGTCTTGGTGGGCGCGCGGGTGTTCTTTACCCTCGACTGGTTCAAGGGCTACTGGCAATTGGCGTTCCATGAAGACACCCAAATGTACTACTCCTTCATGACCCCCTTTGGAGTGTACACACCCACAAGAGTGCTAATGGGCCAAACCGACGCGGTGGCGTTTTGCCAGTCGGCTGTGGACTTCATGTTTGCCGATCTGCTGTTCAAGGAACTCCTAGCCTGGCTCGACGACATGCTCGGTTACGCCGAGTCCCCTGAAGACTTCCTCGACCTCCTGGATCAAGTGCTGACGATCTGTTCCTCCTTTGGCCTAAAGCTCAACCCCAAGAAGTGCGAATTCTTCTTGACCAAGGCGGTATGGTGCGGGAAAGTTGTTTCAACTGAAGACGTGATGCATTCCCCTTCAAGAATCCAAGGACTGTGTGCCCTGGCACCGCCTGTAACGGCCGCCGACCTCCAACAGTTCGTGCGCGACAAACTGGATGCGATCGAGTATTCCCTGCTACACCGAGCTCGTTGCCCCGCTCCGTTAACTCCTCGAAGCAGCGACGAAGCAAACTGGAAGTGCGAAGAAGACGAAGCTCACTAAGGTCCAGCTGACTGCCGTTGACTGGGACGACGACCACTTGACCTGCTTCAATCGCATCAAGGGAGCCCTCTTGGCGATGGTTCCATTGGCGCATCCACGTGCCGACATGATGCCCTGCTGGCTTTCGACTGTTCACCGATCACAAGAACCTTCACTACATTTTCAATCCAACTGGCCAGTCCCCACGCATGGCAAGATACCAAGCGCACAAGTTGGAGCGATGGGCCCTGGTGCTATCCTCCTTTCCCTACACGATCGAGTGCCTGCCCGGTGAAGACAATGTGTGGGGTGATCTACTTAGCCGCTGGGGTGCCTCCCATGCTCAAGTGCCCACGAAGTCTGTCCGGCGCCTCCTCGCGATGGTCTCACCGCTGCAACAAGCCGACTTCGACTGGCCAAGCCCTGCCGGCATTGTCAAGACCCAGCAAGTGGCCGTGAAGAGGGAGAGACCCCGCCAACCGACGTGGCGTGGAATGAAGACAAGAACCTGTACCTCAACAAGGAAGACCGCATATGGATTCCACCAAGTGCTACGGATCTGCAACAGCGAGTCTGCATCATTGCGCATCAAGGCGCCGCGGGCCATCGACGAATCGAAGCCACGGCCAAGTCCGTCCGCGATGTGTTTGCCTGGGAAACTCTTGAAGCCGACGTGAAGACCTTTGTCCAAGCCTGCATCCACTGCCTCAGCGTTGACGGCTCAGTGGTCCCTCGTCCTCTTGGATCGACCCTGCATGCCGAGAAGCCTCAAGAACTGATCCACTTCGACTGGCTCTCCATGCCGACGGCGACAAACGGCTGGCAGAAGATCCTCGTCATCAAGGACGACATGAGCGGTTTCGTACGACTATGGCCAAGCGAGACAAGCGACGCCATGACGACTGCTAACGGCCTCCTCGACTGGTTCACGACCTTTGGGTATGTCCATACCTGGGTCTCCGACAGCGGCTCCCATTTCAAGAACGAAGTCATCGACAAGATCCGGAAGGCTGCCGGAGCCCACCATCACTTCACGACCGCCTACTGCCCTTGGGCGAAGGTACCGTTGAAGTAGTCAACCGACTGATCCTGCGCGCAGTCAAGACTCTGACAAGCGAATTGAAGCTGCGCGCCACCGACTGGCATCTTGTCCTGGCCCTCGTCCAAGACCCACTGAACCACATGCCAAGCGATCGACTCGGCGGAATGGCTTCGGTAACAGCCTTTATGGGCCTACCCGCAACGACCCCTCTGTCCGCGTTCGTCAACACAGTTAACAAGGAGGTGACCAACATCGACTGGCTTGACTCGACGCGCAAGAAGCACATGGCCGAGCTGCATGAAGCGATGGAGCAGCTGCACCGTGATGTAGCGGCAACAAGCGCGAAGAAGCGCCGTCAAGCACGCGACCGACAAGCCAAGTCCAAGGCCGTCCAGTTACAGAAGTTTGCAGTTGGAGACTTTGTCCTCGTCGGGCAAGTGTCCCGCCAAGGCAACAAGTTGTCCCTGCACTGGCGTGGTCCAAGCAAGATTGTGCGCGTTGTGACTGACTATGTCATGGAAACGCAGCAGTTGTCCAGCCATACGACCTGTCTCTCCACCATGCCTGCCGACTCAAGATGTACTGCGAAGGCGGCAGAGACGTGACCGAAGACCTCGCCGACCACATTGCGTTTGGAAATGAAGGATTCCACGTAGCGAAGCTCGGCGAAGTGCGCAAAGAAGGCGGCGAATACCAAGCCCTAGTCTACTGGCTCGGCCTCGATGACGACGAAGCCTCGTCTGCCTGTGGCTAGCCTCTACGAAAACATTCCGATCGTGTTCCGCGGCTGGGTAAACGAAAATAAGAACAAGGAAGAAATGAAGAAGATGGCCGCGGACCTCGAGAAGACCCTCGGACAGCTTGAGGCCGCGCTCCTGGCGAATTGCCAGTACGCGTTCGAGCGCCGCCAACAGACCTTCCTTAGACTTCTCGTAACCAGGCAAATCGTCCAGCCATATCAAAGCAACTTTTACAGTACAACTCGC